TAAAAGAAGTTGAAAATTTGTTCTTATTTATTATCCATCATCTTCCTTCATTCCCACCAAATATAAGCATAAGTTATCAAAACAGTGTTTCTTGAACCAAATGTGCATCTTTTGCATGTTGTTATTATTATTATTATTATTATTATTATTATTTATGTGTATGTAAAAAAAAAAATAAATAAATAAAATAAAAAAACAATTTTGGAGAACAGACAAAACTGAAAACATTTACGAAGTATTTTTCTTTGGCAAGTGGATGTGCTATAAACAAAGAAGAATGAAAATACAGAACAAAGAAGGGGCATACTCCAGAGTCCATACCAGACCAAAGTTGCACCAAAGAAAGTGTTGAAACTCCAAATCAACCGAGAAAAGTTAGGTAGCTAAAAGCGCATTTGGGTCTGGCTCTTGGTGTAATATTGGATTAAGAATTGAGATTGGTTTTGATATCAATTATAATGGATCGGTACTTGTTCATTTACTCAAAATCTCAAATTATTGGGTAATGCTGCATACCCATCTATTTATACTCAATCACTTTTATATCGAGTTCCAATGTGAGACAAATGACCCTTGTTACACTATAATTGTATAATTTGAGAAAACAAAAAACAAGGTTGTACATATATTTGGTGCATGCTGAGAACAAAAACCAATGGCATCTTCTTCTAGTGTGCTTCTAAATTAGGCAGAATCTGTTGGTTTCCAAAAAACCATTTTGACAAAAACCCATGGTTTTTAATGATCCTCTTCAACAGCTAGACTTAACCTACGGTATCTACCCATGTAGAAAAATGTAAAAGAAGAATATTAAGATGTGGTCCAGATTCAACTAGTCTTTAGAAGGTTCTGATGATATAGTTTCATGATCATATATATATATAGTCAATATCACAAAGTCTACCTCATTTGAAAAACACCTTCATTTCTAAAGAAAGCCATATGGGTACTACAGCAGCTAACAATTTTGACACGGCTTCCTACCATTTATTTCACTAAATGACTCTTGTTACAAAGCAACTTCCCTAACTTATATTCATCAAGAGGGGGGAAAAAAGTTGCCCTAATTTTATTGATTGATTTATATTTCTCATATGTCAATTGGGCACTCTTTATTTAAACTTCCTCCTTTAAAAATTTAAAATCTCTCACATTAAATTAAATGTCTCAGTTTCATACAATGTTTTGCGAGGGAACAATTAAGAAGAAACATACTTCTTTTGAGAGTGTTGCAACGATGTTGAACATGTGTCTATCATGAACATGCGTGAGATATAGCCGAACACGTATTTGACACTGATAAACAGTTCTTGAATTTTGACCCTTTTTCTTTTTCTTTTTCTTTTTCTTTTTTTTTTTTTTTTTTTTTTTTCAGAACACAACACATTTGGAACATTTTTAAGACATGTTAATTAATTTTATAAATTTTTTTTTCCAAAAAAATGTAAGAATTTTAATGAGGTGGGTTTGAGACAAACCACTTTTATCCCAAACTCAAGGTTTAGGCTTACTAGCTTATTAGTTTTAATAGAAGTACTAATCATCTAATTGCAGTTAGAGTCTATTGACTTTGTTGTTGTAATGGTAAAAACGCTTTTATAAGTTGTCATAAAAGTGTTGTCACTAAAAAATATGTTAGATGTTTGGTAATGCAAACACTTTTTATACTTAAAGCACTTTTAAATTTATTTGGCAATAGTATTTGCTTTAAACACTTTCATCATTAATTTTACTGTATTACTCATACAATAATAAACGTGTACATTATTCAAATGTAATTTCATTCCCTTAAATTAATAAATTGAAAAATACTTTTTACTAAACCGTTAAGATACACTTTCAAAGAGGATTCCTAATAAAAATAAATAAATCTTGAGATATTATTTTATGTCTTTGAAAAATAGAAAATATTTAGAATTTAGAATATTATAAGCTAAATATATAAAATGTAAAATTGGGTTGTAAATATAGAAAATGTGGAATTAGACTTTAAAAATAAAGGGGATTCGGATATGAAAATAAGCTAGCAATAATACTCATAGCATTGCACCAAATGTTCTATATATATAAAAAAGATAGGTGTTATCATATACAAAATAAAATAATGGTGATAAGAGTCCCAGCTAAACAATTTTAATTACCAAACACCACAAAATGTTATTTTTTAAATTGAACGCGTTTTTATTGGTTACAAATGCAATCCCAAAAAGGGTCTTGGTATCCAACCAACCCAAACTTTGGCAGCTTCTGCAGGCCCAATTGGGGGTAAATGGGTAATTACAACATGACTGCTCAATTGGGCCCTCCTCCGTGAGACAGCACACCTGTCACTGCTCCCCACTCCCCCAAATGGGCACGTGTGAAGAAAGTTAGTGTGATGCCATGCATGACATCATCACCGAATGGCCACGTGGAACACCTATCCACAACTCAGCATGCGTTGGGGGTCATCAACAATTGTCAATTTCTTTAAAGATTTTAATTGTTCTTGCTTTAATCATTCATTAGTAACATGGGGGTGAACTATTTTAGTCTTTTCTAGATCTTTCCTCTTTTCTTTTCCCTTTCAAGTTAGGTCTTGAAACTACGTCTTGTTGCCGATGACCAATCTACATAATCATCATAAATTGAGTAAGAATAAATATATATTTAATAAAATTACATAAAATATAAATAATTATATATATATATATATATATATATATATATAAATCAGTGGGACAGGCTTGTCAATGTGTATACTCTATATCTCTAAGTTCCTTAATATAGATTAAATGTTGGTCTTTGAACCTAATTCAAATATAATCCGATCACCACAATCAATTTTATCCATTCAACAATTTGAGTACAGATACTTCGACATGCTAGTACTTAGGAGAATCTGATTTTCTATGAATACTTTGTTTATTTTCTTTCTATTATTTTAATTATAAACTATAACCCGTCTAATATTAATTAATCTTGATATATAGCCAAAAAAAAAAATTTGTTTACTTTTGAATCTCGTGACTCTTATCTTTACAAAATAAAGTGATAAAAAAAATTATCTGGACGGTATGACTCATAAATAAAATCATACCACCATGGACTAATTATTGGAAATCACATGATCAGGATATAGTTCTTGATTGATTTTTTTTTTTTTTTTGGGGGGGGCCTCTGAAACTAGCACTTACGTTTGGAATCAATTTTTAGGATTTGGAAAAGGAATTGGAATTGAAATTGAAATTAGAATTAAAATGAAATTCTCTTTCCATGTTGGAACAAATTGGATTTAAAATTGAATTTGGAATAAAAATAATATTATACCATTTTTCACCTTGTTTAAATAATAAATGAAATATTTATTTTATTGTCAAATATGTTCCAAAGTTTACATCAAATAAACAAACAACAAGAAGCACTCCATGATATAACTCAAATATAAAATTTATTTAAAAAGTAAAAAAAGAGCAATTATTTATAAATTAAAAATTAATTTATTAAACTACCACCAACATACTTAAAAAAAAAAAGACTAAAAAAAGTAAAATAACATTGGTGAACAGTGATATGAGAGAGTAGTATGGAGTTAGTTAAATAACTTTGAAGATCAAGATATGACATATGCTTGTAGATATTTTATAGGGATAATATCAAATGAGAAGAAGACTAGTTTAAGTAAATATTATACAAAGTTAATCAATGTAATATCATATTTATCTTTCAAATTTTATCATATTTTGATGTTTTAGACTGAATTTAAAACACATAAAAAATGTTGTTTGAAATTTCATAACTTTAAAATATAATTTGTAATAGATTCCGAAAAATCGTAAATCCTATTAAATCCAAAACATTTAAAACGCCTAGAACACATGTTGAAATAATCATTGAAGTTCAATTAATAAATATAGCCGAATTAGGAACAGTAGCTTGGTTGTTTTATTTGAGGATTGATTGATGGAGAATATAAAGTCTTCTAGTAGGAGTGTGGGAGTTGACTATACAGATATAAACTAAACACACACTTTTTACACGTTGTGTGAGTGTTCACATCAACACGTTTTCATTTAGTAATACTGTATATGTGTATTTAAGCACGTGTGTGTTTTAGGTTCCACCTGTATGGACCTCGCCCTTTTTTTTAAGAAATTGGTCACATTTACAATGATTTTGCTATCATAACAATACAAAAAGTTTTAAAGATCAAGATTGTTTCTATAATGTCTCTTCTTTAATTGTCTGAACTGTGCAGGGGAAGGATTTGTAGATGGAATTTAGTGGAATCTGAGTGGATTAAGAGTGTGCGAAGAATATAGCTAAATGAGAAAAGACTGTGTGAGGTCAACACTCTATTGTGTTAACTTTTGTTTTGATTAACGTGGTTCGGGTTTGTGTTCATTTATCTAGTAACGAATTCAGAGTTCAAACAAAAATTTTAAATTCAAATAGAACTTTTAGACTAGTTTTTTAAATAAATAGGTCCAAAGATCTTTTTATTAAGCTCGTTTAACCGGTGTAAGAAAGAGATGAAAGAAAGGAATAATACACACACTCAAGAATTAAGACCATATGTGTGTGAACGAGCGAACGAACAAATAAATAAATAAATATCAACTCTCTTTTATATATTATGAAGTTATATTTTCGGCCCGAGTAACAAAAAAAAAAAAAAAAAAATCCAAACATTTAATCCTTTGTTATTCGTATATGAAGCCCAACCAAACTAAAATAATTTGGTCTCTTCTAAAAAACAAAAACCAACAAAATAAAGCTCACAGTGAACCCAAGGCCATTCAATACACAGGTCTATCTAGACTTATTCAATGTCTTTCCACTTTTTCCACATCCACGATCCATTCTCTACCCTTTACATAATCAAACCCTAGCTCACCATGCACTTTTTAATTTATAATCCAGGACTAGGCCCAACACAACAAGTAGAAAGCCCAAGCCCACATCATCATCATCATCAAGAAGGCCCATGTCTTCTAGCATAGATAGGTTACTACTAGGTACACAAAAAAGAAGCAAGGACCGGGTTTGCAGCGTGGTTCGTTCGTTTGAATACAAGTTTAGGGTTTCTTGAGTTTTAAGAGCACAGACAGCAGTCTCTCTCTCTATCTCACACATCATCATCATCATCATCATCATCATCATCAAGAAGAAGGCCATATCTTCTAGCTGAATCGACTAATCTCTCTCTCATGTACGACTCCTCTCTCTCAATATATGTATATATGAATATATGGTTTCTCGCCTTTACAAAAGATTAAAAAGATTAACTTTTAGGGTTTAAGAAACCAAGGGTGCTAATTATTTAGTGAAGGAACCTGAAAATTAGTGTTTAGGGTTTGTAACGAAACGATTTGAGCTCTGTTATCTTAGTATATATTCAGTATATATTCATTTGTGTTTGTTTTTGTTGTTACTTATCAGGTGCGTAACATTGTGTAATGAGTTACTGGTTTTGATATGTTGATATGATTAATGGTCATATTTCAAATTGTATCTTTTATCATATCTACATATATTAAATCCTTGTATTGGTTTCACATTTCACATTTATTGGTATACTGCGTTTGGCAGCTTAAGATTTACCCTTTGGAAGGGGAATTGAAGATGATATCAATTCCAATTTCAAAGCACGGATTTTTCATGCTATTAAACGGAGTGTTGGAAAATTTAGAAGCTGCAGGAACAAGATGTTAATTTGGTTCCCTGTTTTTACTGGATGAAATGTAGATAATAATGGCTGATGAGGAACCGAAGCCCCTTGCTTATGTACCGGAGACGATATTGAAGAAAAGGAGGAGCAATGAAGAGTGGGCAATTAGAAGGAAACAGCAGTTGGAGCAGAAGATAAGGAAAATCAAGGGTGATAGTTTTGTCATCAGGAAGCCGGAGCAGTTCATCAAGCAGTTTCGAGACAGGGTAACTACGATTTACGTTATCACAGTGTAGTTGGTGCTTTAGATGGCATTTTTGTTTTGGTTAGTTGCATTGTTATTTAGTTAGATTCTAGTGTTTACTTTTGTTGATACCTACGAGAGTCTTCGCAGACTTATTAATCAGTAATGATGACCTTATTGCTTGAAACTTTAAAATTTTATTTTGGCATTTTGATCAGTGACACTATGGAATTTTTTTTTCTTTTTTCCTGTCCTTGACTGGAAAAGTTAGTATTTTATGTGGAAATAGGCAAACAACAGCAATTTAACTGAGACCCATTTAAGTAAATGAGAACCAAATTTGTTTTGCCCCGTGTCTGCTACAGCTTATATTGAAATGTATTAGAGTTTTCCGATTCTTAGAGCTTGTATTAAGGCTTGAAACCCTTTTTGTGAGCATATAAATTCAATAACTAATTACAAAGATTTTGATAAAAATAGGAAAGAAAAAAAAAAAAAAAACTTATATTATATATATATCTATTTTTTTTTTTTTTGGATAAGTAACCATTGATATATTTGAATTTTTTTAGAAAACAACTCAATGTATGCTTGCCAAATGTGAACTTTCACTTAATGGTGTAGGCAAAGACTAGTATCAAATATCATAATATTTGGATACAAGAAGTCACGTGCTTAGATTTTGATGATTCTATGTTATTTGAACCTTTTAATAGATACACTGTGGTGTCCATTTAGTATATCAAGCCTGGAACAGTTATTCGATGTAAATTTGAGATGTATGTCTATTCAGTAGAGGAACTTTTTATGTATTTTTGGATCCTCATGTGAGATAGGATGTTGCTGTTGTTCTTCCTCTGTTAGATATGCTATTTGGTTACTTGTCTTGTAATAGACATTTAGATAGTTAGGTGCCTACACTCATTTCATGGATAAATGTCTGGGTAACATTGATGATACTGTTTAGTTCAGGGTTTATCTAGGGTCCCTTGTGAAATTACTTCTGTTCAGAAGAGTGCACAATTAGGCTATAGCCAATTTTATTACACCTATATAAGTGGCTTGTTTTAAGATTGAGAACTGGTGCTTCATTACATGCTTACTATAAAGAGAGATGAAGACTGGCTAACTTCATATCCGCATGCACTGCCACTAACTGCATTCTATCTCCATTGGCTTAAACTCCTGACCTCTTAAGTTGAGTTTGGTTGAAATCTGTCTAATGTAATGCCTCTGTAAATTCCTCTCTCTCTCTCTCTCTCTTACTTGAATCCTTAACCTCCCATATGAGTGGGGGATGAGGTAACACTAGGGAACCTTGTTCTGTAAAATCCAAGTCTCCAACTTGATCCACGATAAATCATCTAATGTTCTTATTTGCTGATTTACAACCAGGAATTGGACCTCATCCAAATGAAAAACAGGGGAAAGAGGCAAATGTGGAAATCAGAGGCACCAGTATCCAAGCTGCTTTTCATCATTCGTATTCGGGGGTGGGTTATTACTTCTATGGTTGCAATGTTTTCTCCTCATTTATGCTGTTTATGATTTTATTTGTTGTTTAGTTCTGATATTCGCCAAATAATTTCAGAAAAAATGACATGCATCCAAAAACTAGAAAGATGTTATACTCTTTGAGACTCAGGAAAATCTTCAATGGTGTCTTTGTGAAGGCAAATGAAAGGATAATAGAAATACTGCAGAAGGTGGAACCGTTCATTACATATGGGTAAGACACAATCTTTAATGATATAATTTGCTGCAAATAATATATATTTGATGTTCATGAGAGAGGATAAAGCTGCATAGTGGTTTTTCTCACAATAAATTTGTGATTTATAATCTGAACTAGTTTGCTTACTGAAGATGATGGAATGCTAATTTTTTTTATTTGTCTGCATCTTTATAGATTTTTTATTTGTATTTCATCTTCTTAGTAGTGATTCTGATGTGAAGTACAATACTGGAATTCATTATATATGTCCACATATACTGGAAGTTTCTAGCTTCTCATTAGTGCGAGATCTACCATCAGTCTTCCAATCTAGTTGTATTTTCTTACTAGGTTTTCCGTACAAATTTAAAAACACTGGGTTTCTTGGCTATAGTAATTACTGGTTTTCCAGTGTCTTAGCATGATAACCATGTGCCTTGTAAATGAACTCTTCGAAAGAATTTAGTGACTTGTGACACATTAGCTCCTTGTTAATGACTAATGAATTTTGATCAAGCCGTCACACTATTTCAAATGCTTGGTTGTCCTTGCAGCTTTTACTGGATGTATTTAAGTTCTTTATTTTGCCCTCTGTTATATTTAGGAAAAGGAATTGTTGAGTTGAGTTTATGTTGCCCTCTATTGTCTTGGGTAGCTAGTCATAGGATGGAGTGTTGTACTCTCAGCATGTTGTGTTGGGAGAGAAGGATTTTGTGACGTGGATGGCTTCATAGGGCGGCAAGTTTGAGGTACATTCCCACTGTAGGGTCTTTCTGAGGGGGAGCCCATTTTGGTCCCCTTGTATGGCATACTAAAGCCCCTCCAAAGGTTTTTAATATTTTCTTTTTCTGAGTTGGATGGCTGGGTTAGAAAAATCCTTACCATTGGCAAACCGATTGGAAGAAGATGATCATTGTTAATTTATGTTGCATGTTCGAGAGGGATGAAGAGTTGGTGAACCACTTCTTGACACACTGTCCAGTGGTTAGAGATACTTGGGCTGTTCTTTTGTCACTCTTCAGGAGGGCTGTCGGTTATTCCAAATTTGACCATCTAGGCATTGGCTAGTTGGAGGGATTGCAGAGTATGAGAGGAACAGCATCTGCTCTATATATTTGGGGGATCATCTGGTGGAGAGAAATAGGCGTTCATTAGGTGTCTAGGTGTCAATTTGTAGGTTGAAGTTTTTATTTATTTTTATTTTTATTTTATTTATTTATTATTTTATAAGTAATAGGCGTGCATTTTTTTGTGGGATTATCTGGTGGAGAGAAATAGGCGTTCATTAGGTGTCTAGGTGTCAAATTGTAGGTTGAAGTTCTTGATGATTGAGGTCTTTCATCTTTGTCAATTTTTAGGTTGAAGGTATTCATATTTGTTAATTAATCCTTTGTAGAATTGAAAGTATAACTCTTGTATGGTTTGCATACATCTGTTGTGCACGGGTTGTGCTCCCTTTGGTGATCTGTTAGTATACTTGTAAAAGAAGAGTTGGATTGAGCTCAGTTAAGACTTAAACTCTCTCTCTCTCTCTCTCAGAATCGCAATTTGGCTTGCCCATGGATACCTGCTCCCACTCTGACGGGTTTGGGGATTTTAATTGGGGATTGGGGCAGGTATGGAGAATGGAAGTAAAATTCTGTGCGGTTTGGGGTGGGTTGGGAAAGGGGTCTCGGACTTGCACAGTTTGTGTTAAAAATTATGTTACATGGACTCGGGTTCGGGTATTGGACATGGGTATGTATCCATGCGTCAGACGTGTTAAATCTCCAAATAGAAGGACACACAGACACAGCTAAATATTCATTTTATTAATTATTTGATTTTATTTTCTAGAGTAAAGTAATGTTTTTATCTAATATAATATTCAATATAGGCATTTAACTTATTTTAAAGTAATAATATAATGTAATTGAATGATTGGATATGCTTTTTAAGTACGTGTCCAACCAAAAGTGTCAGACACATATCCCATACCCATGTCCAAGGGATATGTGTTCGACACGGGTACTTCACTACTTTTAAAGAGTCCATGTAACAAATAAATTTACATGAAAGTACCTATATTTATAACATATATATTGAAATACCCTTGGTCTAATTAACCCCAAGCCCTAATTATCTGCTGCACAAATGTGTGTCAAGCTGCATATTTTATTTTGTTTGCTCAATTGCATGCTCTGGATCTGTCATTTACTTCCCTTGAGCCTGAAACCATCATGGACAAATGTGCTTTTGCCAGAAAGAGAGAGGGATGAGGGCAGAGGTGGGGATTGCAATTGGGGTTGGGGATGTAGAATACGATTTGAGGGGCGAGGTGGGGATGGGGAATGGTGTTCCCGCCCCAGTTACCTTTTTTACTCTCTCTCTCTCTCTCTCTTAATTATGATGGAACTTGCTCATGAGCCTAGTTGGGTTATTGGTTTCATTAAATGAGTGGACTCCTGACTATAAAGAGAACAAATAAATTAGTACTCAAATTCAGACAGATCATAGTAGAAATGCCTCATGAAAAATTATAATAAAATTTAAATCGCTGAAAATCCATTGTCAGGACCCAGGAATCTCCTTTTCTGTCTTCTTTAGTTGGAGATTTATGATAAAATTTCTTAGATAGTCATCAAGATATAATTTAAAAAATATTTACTGGCTTTTACTTTACTACATTGAATCTTTTTGTAGTGTATTTGATTATAAACTTGTTTAAGCATTATGTTCTTGAGCTACATAAGAGTTCACAAGCTTGGCCAAGTTGTGCACTGGGTTGCTTAAGCTGTCCTATGTTTTGTTTGAGCTTTGATTGAGTTCGACTTGTTCAGGCTTTAGAACAAGGTTAACTGAGCTTATCAAACATCCAAGCTTGGGGTGCTTCCAGGGGCTTACTGTTTATATGAGATAATTTTATCTGCTAACACAAATGAACCAACAATGGATCTTAGCATTTTGTTCTTATTTCTTATCAAAAAAAAATTGTTCTTTTTTCTCAGTTAGGTATCCTAGTTGTGTTTTACATGCATTCAGATGAGTAATTGTTGCTGCCATTAATAAAACTTATTAAAAATAAATGAACTAAAAATATATTGTTGTTGCCGTTAAAAATTGAAAAGCTTAAGGTGGTTCTACAATTCAATTGTCAAAGTTTCTTTCATTGTTTATCAAATAAGCTTTCTGGTTCAGTTCATGTGTTTGGCACTTTGGTTGTGCAACTCTTATTTCTGCCATGGTATGACACTAGAAACGTGTTCAGACTTCAGAGTCTTCAGACACGAACAGTCTAAGAATATATCAATGTGGTTTTCATTAACCATATCGATCCATTCTCCTCAGGCTAAAATAGTTATAGTTGGGACTTGGAAGTCCCCCTGAAAAGTGGTCATGCAAATGTTATTATCTTCAAAGCAGCCTTACAAATTCACATCCAACTTAAGAAGATTAAGCAAATTTTGCTTGTACCTGGCTTTGTGAAATTTTCTTTTTTTTGAAGATATCCCGATGTCAACATGGTCTACTTGATATTTTGTTTGTGAAAATATCCTATAGTTACACTAGTAAGATTTTTGCTTGTATTTGAAGATATCCAAATCTCAAGAATGTGAAGGATTTGATTTTCAAGAAAGGCGTGGCAAAAATAAACAAGCAGAGAGTTCCTTTGACAGACAATAACATTATTGAACAGGTACTAAATAAGTTGTCTGCTAAATCGTTGCATGGTTACCCAGTTACATTTGCTGCCAAGTTTTCATCATGCTCTCATTTTTTACTTGCTTTCACTTCTTTAATAGGAACTGGGGAAGTATGGCATGATATGCATAGAAGACGTTGTAAATGAAATTGCCAATGTCGGTCCACATTTTAAGGAGGTTACTAGTTTTCTGTGCCCCTTTATACTCAACAAACCGGAGAAAGCATTGAAAGGAAAGAAAAAGGTGTACAAGGATGGAGGAGACAGTGGAAATCGTGAGGATCACATCAATGAACTCATTAGTCAGATGAATTAGCATTGCTAAATATGTCCTTCATAAGAGATCAAATCTGTTCAGTGTAGTTCGTGTACCCGAGATTGGACCTTAACTAACCTGCGGTGGCATGTATCTAAATTTTGAGACTCGTTCCTCTTGGTTTGGTTTGGTTACTGGAATTCTTTTAATATTTTTATCAAATTGTTGGTGTTTGCAGCTCTTCGAGAGAGTGTAATAGTTGTGATGCTTGTAATCTGGTTAGGGTTTTGAATCTGAGATGAACATCTCTGGCATCTAATTTTGCAATTGTTATCACTTAAAGAGATTCTTCTTACCATTTTTGTGCTTCTATTAGCCCTATTACTAGTCATATTAGCGCTACGGTTGAGAGATGGCCTTGGAGATTATCAGATTGGCGCTACAGGTTCCTGGTCATATTAACTATTTAACATGGCACTGTAATTTATATCGTATTCCTTTTGCCTCGCGGTTGTGGTGTGTCCTAAGACTGTAATACACAATCTTTTTAAAGAGGGGTGCTGCTATCACTTTTTGCGTGGTGTTTTTTAAATTTGTGAAATTAATTGTCAATTTTGGAATTTTTCTCAGTTTTTGATTGATGTACAACCATATGTGATATTTATTATATATAATAATGAACCAATAAATTATTTAAAAGGTAAAGAACTGATGAATCTACAATACCAAGAAAGGATAATAAATCCTTGTTATGTTTGTTGTCTGCTTCATATTCATCATTTTTTGTTTATGTTATTTACTTGATAAAAAGCCTTAATTATAAAAATGAATGCAATACGAGGCCTTTTATATAACGTTTTTTTTTTTTTTTTTAAAAAAAAAAACACCTGAGCTCCCAACCTAAAATGAATTTACAAGTTTGCCCTTTTCAACCTTGGTCCACAAACACATATATATAAACAAAGGCCTAAAATCGAAGAAGTTCATGTTGGATGCAGGTCAAGGGCGTGACGATAATCCATCTAAAGTCTAAACTCCCAGACAAAAAAATGGAATATGCAAGTCCGGGCTCTAATAAATGACATATCATCATCCATAAACAGTGTCGAAAAAATCTTACAACCATTATAATAATTTTTCATGCAAAACAACTCATGTGGTCAGCCATGCTAAGGCCGCCCGCCATACCTAGTTTCATCAAATCAACACGTGCCTTGAGCAAGATGGACAGACTTAGAAAGGAGGTACTTGAGTGCTCGATGGTCAAAAGCACGCCCAAGTTGTCATGTCAGGCCATCATACTTACTTTCATCAAATCGACACGTGCTCTGAACAAGGCCGACAGGATTAGAAAGAAGGTACTGAAGTGCCTGATGGCCGAAAAGCACGCCCCAAGTTGTCATGTCAAGCATGGCGCCAGAGCCACCTTCAAGACATCACATTCAGAGGCAAAACATCCAATCCGTATCGGCCACATCATACCCTCATTTGCGTAAAAATCTTTCGTCTCCGATGTCCACGTGGCAATCATCCAACTATTGACCTTATTTCTCCACCACTATAAATATACAAACTTGCATCTTTGAGCTCCAAACCTTTTTTATATACTTGGTTTTCTTTTCCGGTGTAGCTCTTAGCTTCCCTTCATTACACTTGATGTTTCTATAGTGTAACCAGTAGCTCTAAGTTTCCTTACTTGCCATTTATAAGCTTTCATTAGTGTAATCTTGTGACTCTTCCACTAAGTTTTATGCATGTCAAGCTTTGTAACTTATCATTCAGGGCTCTACTTATGACTTTTGTAGATGGTAACCATGAACTTTAAACTTTTACCCAACAAGAGCTTGTAATTAATCATCATTCTTATTATTTTGCTCGGAGTTATTTTATATGTATATTATATGGTACTTAACATTATAATCAATTCGCTTCAAGACTTAATAGAGTTCTTTAGTTAGGATATAATTGAACGAACTAGTAAGAGGATCATTTCTTTTTTCCACGATCACAAGTTAGATGATCTATTTTTAAGACCATCCATAATCGTAATATCAAGAATATTTGCTCGACTCTCGTTAGCTTGGTTGTAGCCAGCTAAATTACAAATTTGGGCCAAACTGTTTTGGGGCACTCTTAATTTATAAAATTACAAGTATACTTTTGGGTCGTATTTGGTTTGAAGGAAGAAAGGAAGGAAGGAAGGAATGAAGAAGGCTGAAAAATGATTTTCACCTTTTGGTTAGAAGGAAAAGAAGGGAGAAAAAAAGCAAGCAAGGATGAAACATTTCTTACATTTTTCAATCTCTTCAAAATTAGACTGGTGAGAAGGGGAAAGAGAAAAAAAATACTGCTCCATAGGTACCATTGTTTGTATTTCAAGAATGCGGTGCATTTTGTTAGAGAGAAAAATGAGGTAGAAACACACATGAAAAGAGAAAGGAACAAGAAATTACGGGAAAAATAATAAATAATAATAATAATAACTGGGCATTTCTCTCTCTCTCTCTCTTAAATAGTTACCTTAATTGACTATACAGTGTACAATAAGACTATATTAAAACAGAGAAGTTACAAAATTCAAAGACAATAAATATCAATAAATTAAGCAATTAACTTTCTAGGTTCAATACTTGCCTCCTAACCTCCAGAACTTATCCATTGCCTCGTAACCTCTTAAATTATTTTTCTTCATTTATTTTAATATATTACAAAAAGACACATAATCACCCCTTTCTTACTAAGTAAGCAGGCAAGTATTATTAGACATTTTAAGCAGTCATTGAATTCTCACTCCATATGATATCTTGGAGCGCCGGCCGGAGCTCCTCGCTGCAAAACTGATTGTACTCAAGGGTGTCGCCACCCTCCTTCTTCACCTCCACCACCATAACCGCTGGAGTCACCGCGAACATCTCCGCCGCCACCCACAGCTTCCCTTTCCTCCCCCTTTCCCTTCCCTGCAGCCTCACCCTCCCCTCACTCCTCTTCACCCTGAACTCCGTTCTCTTCGCCACCTCCTCCAGCCTCGATATCACGCTGCTCGCCGGACTCGCCGTCGCAAACCTCAACTCCTCCTGCTTCCTCTTCCCCTCGAACAACGGCGACAAATCAAACCCCTCCGACAAAGAAATTATATGAAATGCATTCAAAGTCTCAGTACACTGGTCTTCACTCTTTTCAACATCTTCACCCACATTTCTAGACATTCTTGTCTTAAACCAGCTCGTCTCCATGAGCTCAGACGTCGTGATCCTAGTCATCGGATTCGGGTCGAGCAGTCGAGTAATAATCCGGCGAGACTCCGGCGGGACGCACGTCGGAAACTTGAAATCGCCCCTACACACCCTTCTATACATGGCCACCACATTTTGATCCTGAAATGGCAAATACCCAGCAAGAAGAACGAATAAGATCACACCGCAAGACCATAAATCGGACTTAGCTCCATGGTATCCTCTGTTTCCGATCACCTCCGGCGCAACATACGCCGGAGTACCACACAACGTATGAAGCAACCCGTCTTGCTTCAAATGGTCCGATAAGGCAGACAACCCGAAATCGGTCACCTTGAGATTACCATCCTCATCCAACAAGAGGTTCTCCGGCTTCAGGTCGCGGTGATAGACTCCGCGACTGTGGCAGAACTCGATGGCCGATATGAGCTGCTGAAAGTAAGACCGAGCAAGGTCTTCTCTCAGTCGGCCTTTGACGACTCTGTCGAACAATTCGCCGCCGCGAATGTATTCCATGGCTATGTATATCTTGGATTTGCTTGCCATGACTTCGTAAAGCTTTACGATGTTGGGGTGATTCATTTTCTTCATGACCGATATTTCGCGCTTCACTTGCTCGGTCATGCCGGTTTTGATCACTTCTTCTTTGGAGACCACCTTCACGGCCACGCTCTCGCCTGTGTGGAGGTTCTTGGCGTGGTAGACTTTGGCAAAGTTGCCGTGGCCGAGGAGGCGGCCGAGCTCGTACTTTCCGTGGAGTACATTTGTAGGTTGTGGGATTTTGGGATTGTCGGCCATTGGAGAAACTTGATGAGCTTGTTTGCAATTTGTTGAGCTTGAACTGTGGTAGTTCGGAATTGGGTGATTGACCGTCTTGAAGGTTTTTCCGGTGGCAATTCCGGTGGTGGTTGTCGTAGTTGTTTGTTTTGGATTTGAGTTCAGGTCTAAGCGAGAATGGCGTATCATGTTGAGTGTCTGAAACGGGTTTGGCATGTGCTCTCCTTTTAAACACGGGTGCTGGTTTTTATTTAGAAAGAAGTCCCTCAATAGTTGCTTATTACGGGCACTGCCATAAATTTATTACGAAATAAAATATATGGTATGTGTGGTCTAGGAGTTTGCAAAGGGAGTCCAAAATTATTTATTATAAAAAAGTAAATAAACAAATTAATAAATAAATAATATATGATCTCCACAAATTCTTTGTTGTATGTGTAGTTAACTTGGTAATGGAATTGCATGAGTTTTTCTCAGCATTAAAGATATAAAATGCATTTGCATTAAAGGTTTGCCTGATCGATAACGAGAGATAAGACTCAAATTGCATCTCATTACTTGTTAACTCAAACTTTTATCATTATACTAGATGTTTAATTATATATGTATATATAATTACATACTTGAGTTCTCTTCTGGTGTTTACTGTGCACAAAAAGAGGGTAAAGATCATTGCATCTAAAGTGACATTCATGTTGTTTGCGGAGACCATGCTGCACAAATCTTCATCCGAATCTATGCATAATACCATCCTATATTTGTAATTTTACATGTCTATCTTGCATTGAGTGGTTCTTTTTACCATATCATACTCAAATTGATTTAAGAGGATCTCTCACACTAAATAACATATCAAATGGAGCTGATCCATATATATTAATGTTAGGATTCTAAGTCAACTTATATCATTCAGTATGATTTGGACAATTGTTAAATCCTAATATGGAAGGAAAAAAAAAAAAAAAAATTTGAGCTGGATTTAAATTGCATTTGGAAATAAACCAAATCCATTTCATGCTCACACATTTAAGTACAATATGGATCCGTGATAGATCTATGAAATTATATCTACATTTGATCTGTTTCTAAATTCACTTTCAAGTTAAAATTTAAACTGTATAAGGTAAATCTCCTTTCAAATCGAAATTAATATTATTAAAAAAACATAATTTCATTCCCCGGTAACCAATGAGAGTTGGGATCCTTTACAGTACAACATACATGTTGTGCGGCCTCGGATGGATCCCAACTCAAACATGTGTGAACCTTTTTACATGCAAGTGCTGGGATCCGTCCAATGCACATGAAAGTGTTAGGATCCATCCAATGCAGTACAATATGCATGTTGCACTGCAGAAGTCCCAACTCCACCAATGAATTGCCTAATAAACAATACTGCATGCACTTAATAGGGGTATAATTATTGAAATTTGTATTTTTTACAAATTGAGTTGCATATGTTCATTCTCAAAGTAAAATCCTCTTAGTAGAGAGTACATATGGTGTGAATCTAACGACGCCCAAAACGTTACGTCACACACTTATTAAAATGTCATGATTTTATATTTTAAGTTTCACTTTTATAGTTTTTTTTTTTTTGAAAAGTATTTCACTTTTGTAGTTGGTGCGGAGGATGCGTTCAAATAGAACTCCGTGCGACGTGGTAGCTTAAGGGATTTGAATAGACAACGAAAATTGAACAGATAAAGATAATTAGTGACCTTTATTTAGGTACAGGAGAAGTGAAAGGGAGTTTGTCATTGATTCCAACATGACTACCAAGGGGACCTCAATAAATAAGAGGTCGAAAAAGCCAAAAGGTACGACACAAATTACTCTTCAGAGCCTCTTCTTCTTCCTCTTTACGATCTAGTACTAACTTGATCGTTGAAGACGTACCCTCCGGCCGGTACTACACTAGTGCCTTTTGAGATTATACTTTCTTTCCATGCAAGTACGACGCCATTCCCGATCATAGTTGAAAACTGCTTCATCAATGTACTTACCTATAGAAAAAGTTTTACATTTATAGTGAAATATATACTCCGAAATACTACGAGAAAAAGTGTAAATAAAGAAAATTTTGATTAATCACGATAACATTATAAAGTCATCGTTAGTGTAAATGGACTGACATAATTCACTTTCATATCACTTTAAATTTCACATTTATGGTGAAATATGTATTATGAGATAATAGAGAGAATTTTGATTTGTTAACTCTTACGAAGACATTATAAAATATAAAGTTATCATCTATATAAGCTCTACTTCACTCGAGTGTTTTTCTTCATCTTACTAGTATCATTAGAGTTGGCGACTTGTGTACTTATTGACCTTCATGCAGTGTGTAAGATTTGTGCAAAATTTTGAACCAATATCTTTTTCTGTCTACTCTGTATTCTATGATGCATTGTAGAGAACTGAGATTAATCTAGCAATAGATAAACCAACTATTGAGTTGATCTCTACTAGGGGTGTAACTTGGGCAAGGTGAGGGGTTAACCCTAGCCTACTAGCACTATGGGCACTGTTGCCAAAGCTCGGGTTGAACGTGAGGTCGAGTTGGGGTGGCCTAGCTTGAGCTTGACAAAGCTCAAGTTAGTAGGGTTTGCGCCATGTTTGATATCTTACCTTCGAAAATGAGGTGAAGTCTATGAAGATGACAATGGTCGATGACGAAGATTTGTGACCAACAAAGATGATCGGTAGTGATAGTTGCTTGTGAAGATAATTGGTAGTGGCCGTGGCCAATGAGAGCTCTAGACAACAATACACAATAGATAGCGGTTAAAGTTTGCGGAATTAGATTATAGAGATTTCTGATATGGGAGTTTATATAATATAATGTAAGCTAACCGTTGGATGAAAAATTAATGACTATGACTTATTCTAATTTTATAACATCATAAAAATAATATATATATATATATATAATAGAAATCCGGTTCGGATTGACATATCACAATTAAAATATCTTGTCCTTTTTATATGGGGTTGGGGTTGGATTGGACTTGGTTGTGTCAGTACGAATTGCAATCCTACTTTGGTAACTACAGTACCACTCTTTAATTCCTGGAGTTTGGTGGGCCCTTGCATATATGGTATCAGAGTTTCAGATAAAACCCCTAAATGAAAATCCTTGAAATCCGCGAATATCATCAATCTAGCGGTTGACACCGAACACAAATTGAGACAAGCATGTGGGTCCCACTACCAACTAGTAATGTACACCTGCTTGCATATGTACCAGCATAACCTCTTTTTTTTCTTTTTTTCTTTTTTTCTTTCTGATGTACAAGTATAACTGGGGGAGGCCTGTGTCTCAAATGCCTGCTAAAATGCTAACATCATAATAATTAATAATCTATATTAAAAGAAAAGAGAAGAAAAAATATATATTATTCCTGAAAAAATTATATAAAAAGTAAATTTATGAACCACTTCTTTAAAAAAAAAAAATTATAAAAATAAAATACTAATATCCACCGAAAATATCAATCTCACAAAAATTTATGAACAACTTCTTTTAAATTTTTATATAAAAATAAAATACTAATATCCACCGAAAATATAAATCTCACAGGCTCTGTATTTAAGGTTTTGAGATATCACTGAATATGGTGGGCCAGGGACTAGGGATGGGATGGCAGTCACATTACATTGCCACAGACTCGCCGCACATGACTCAACAATAAATACTATCCGACATGGATCAATAGGCCCAATGTTTCCCGTTCCCATTTCCCATTTCCCACCCACAGAATCAACTTTGTTTACGTCAAAGGTTTCCTCATTTGGAATATACATCGCTTGAGGTATTATTATACTTTATCAGCAATAATATTATCTTGAGACTCTAAATAATAGTATTATAACATTGAAATAACGTGTTACTTGACATACAAAATTATTACGGAGTATTTTCAGAATCGAAATTTTTCATAATCAAAATATGATTTTACATCTTTGAAATAATCATGTTTAAAAAAAATACTCTCCGCTGTAAAAAAAAAATTTAATAAGAGCCCACTTGCAGCTTCGATGGCTTCATGACGAGTATGTAAGGTCTCCATTGCATCTTCTTACTTTGTCAACTCATGCATTTGTATCTTAGTCACCAATGAATAATTAATTAATTGTGAATTCACGAAATATAAGTAAAGAGAATTCTAAAAATATTAATAATGATGAATGAGTAAATTCGTTCATGTATACATATACTTCAAAAATATTGAAAATATTGTTAAAAACATTTTTTTTTTACTTGGTAAACTTGGGAAACTTTCCCGGTGTATGCCCGGTATTAGATTATGGGCTAATGTAAAAAGTGCAACACCACAGTCCTCATTAAAAAAAATTAAAAAAAATATTTGGCACTCTCTCCTTTATTAAAAGTTTAAATTAAAATAATTACCAAATTTCAGAATTCTTTAAAATTTCAACAAAAAATCGTAATATTAAAAAAAAGAAGTTAAAATAACTGCGAAATAAAGATGAGTGATCTCACCTTGCGAAGACTTGTTATGCTTGTATGCAAGGGCATCATGATGAACCTCTAAGGTCTCCTCTGCGTCTTCATACTTCTCATACTCATGCGTCTCTTTCATCATGGGTGGTCACGAATTTAATGATAGATCAATTGTGAATCAAGAAATTATAAACAAAGAGAACTCCGAAAATATTAATAATGATGGATAAATAAATCTGCACATGTTTGCATATATTTATAGAAGGAATTCACCAAATTTTATATTCGAATCCGTAGACTTTCAATAAAAAATTTATATTTATTTTGAATTTCCTAAAATACAAGTAAACCTAAAAGCAATGGACAAGTGCACAAAACATCAATAAAGTATACTTCGGGTAATACTTTTATCCCCTATTTAAAAAGGTGAGAAAATAAAACATTTTAATCTTTTCACATTGTGTAAAAATATTCTCAATCAGAAATCTGACATAAATTAGTGTTGTAATACCCGTTTTACCCTTCTAATCTTCGAAAAATACTCAAGGGGGTATATATGTTACTGTGTTGCGCTTGGTGTGCAAGAATGGAATGGAATGGAATGGAATGGAATGCTCAATCCAATTATTTATTTGTTTGGTATGCAATTTAAAGTAAGAATCACCATTCCA